TNTNTCTTCTTCTTCTTCTTTTTTTTTTCCTTTCTCACTTTCCCGTTCTCCTTCTCCCTTCCGCTTCTCCATTATATTCCCCTTCTTTTTCCTTCTTCCTCTTCCAACGTCTCTCCCTCCTTCCCCCTTCCTTTCCTCCCCCTTTTCCATTCGATCGTGGGTCCTTGTTCGCGGTGTGTGTGCACGGTCGACTCGAAAATTTCGAGTTTACCCCACGAATTTCTTGTTGATCTTTCATCCCGTTCGGGCCGCGTACCTGTCGGAGCTGGGGCCGAGACGGGGCCAAACTTATCCAAGGATTCAGCCGAGTAAAAAGTTGCTAGATCTAGCGCGATAAATCTAGTTAGCCGATCGCCAACTTGTTCCCTCCCTCCAGGCCTGGCCAGATAAGAATAAAGTTTCACCGGAGCATGCTCCTGAAGGGGGAAGGGGAGGGGGGAAGGGGTCGCCATTGATTGAGCGTGTAGAGAAGTTCGATTTAGCCGCGTTCGTGTAATCAGGTGCTTAATGAGCCGAGTGTCGACCTACTACCTTACCTCACGGGGTCTCTCCTCCTCTCCTTCCACCCCCTCCCCCACCCATCCCGGTAATGGCGAACCTTATGTCGGGCTGTGTCTAAGCCGCAACCCATAAATCACGGATCACCCTTCGCGGCGACAGGGCGAATCGAAAGGTCCGGTAAATATAGCCCTAGATAGATTTCCTTAAACGAGATATATCCGCTTCCGTGGCTTGGTCGCGCGCGCGAATATAGGTCATTTATCGAGAGACTCTAGGAGGAAAATGGCGCGAGAAATATATCGTTGACGAGATGTATCGCGCTTACTACTCTTAGTTTTATCGAATCTCTTTCTTTCTTTCTTTCTTTCTTTCTTTTTTGTTTCTTATTTCTCCTAATTGAAGGATGGAGATAACGATGGACAGAGTCGTTTCCTTCTCTTCGTTGTTCGATACCTCGTTTATATTGTAATGTGTACAATATATATAGGGAAAAGTCGATTTACGATTATTCGTTTTTCTTCTTCTTTTCTTTCTTTTTTCTTTCTTTCTTTTTTTTTTTTTTTTTAAATTAGACGATTTCAAACAAGAGGTGGTTACGAATCACTGAAAAGTCGATAAACTTTCAGCGTGAATAAGCCAGGATAAAATTTTTGATCGCAAATGGTTACTCTTTCTATCTCTGGGAAAAAGCTTTTCGGGCGTACCGATCTCATCTCCACGATCTTTTCTCTTAAAGCTGATTTTCATTCACGGAGACCTGCTACTATGAAAGCTTTATCATGGCACGGATCTATAGTAACTCCTCAATTTTTCAGCCTACTATCCTTTAAAGCCTTCGTGGCAATTTTTCCAATAGATCGTCCGATATGAATTTCGATTTTCTTTTCTTCCTTTATTTTTTTTTTTCCTTTTTCTTTTTCTCTTTTTCTTCCAACGTCAATTCACGTGGAACGAGAAGAAATATATTCGATAAGATCAGAGTTGGCTTTCCTTCCTATTAACTCGAAAATTGTAGCTTAACCGTCGAAATCTATCAGCATAATCGATATTTTCTAACGGAGAAAAGACGCGAGAGATCGTTTTTTTAACCGAGGTAGATCGTCATACATCTTCGATCCAAGATATTTAACAAAACTATCCCTTCTTTCGAGATAAGTAAAAACCTACACGTACACCATCTGAGGAAGTACATATATTCACGATTAGAAAAGATTGCGCGTGTTTTTACTAAAAAAAAAAAAAAGAACCAACTTTACAATAACAATTCAATAAAAACAAGTTAACAATTCGGATAACTTTCGACGAGACTGTCGCTTCTTAACATTAAAATTACTCGAAAATAAAACCACTTTCCTCGTTGTTTCGCGTGTAAAAAAAAAAAAAACGGAGGAGAAAATTGGACGCGTTTAACGCTCATAGATATCCACGTTGCATCCGCCGCCTCGCCACCGATGTTAGCATCGGTGATAGCCGGAAAGAGGTCAGACGACGACGTGGAACTCGTCGTCTGGTGGTGGTGGTGGTGTGCACCAGAGCTAAGTAGAGCTGTTCGAGATATCGAACGGCAATGCCAAAGAGGTTCAACCCTCTCTCCTTCCCCTCCCCCGTCACCTAAGTTTACGATCGTACGGGGAGGGGGGGGGAGCTTAGCCTATACCCGGGGTGTGCAGCGTACAGGCCACGGGTGTAAACGCGCGACCGGTAAACCACGGCCTGTAATTGCCTCGTTCGGGGGGATAGAAGGTTCTTAGGAAACGTTGGAAACGTTCCGTTAAGAACTTAGCGGGGGAGGGAGGGGATCGTTCCCTTCGTTTCTGAAAGCTCGGCATTATCTCTTTATTGCGCGCCCCCCTCCCCTCCCCTCCCCTCCCCTCGAACGTTATTCTCGGTATTCTCGGAATGTCGCAACCCTTCCCCTCCTCCCCCCCCCCTCTTCCCCGCCAACTTATCGGTTCGCTTTAAAAAAAATTTTCTTCCCGCTAAAACGCTTACGTAAGTAAGCTGTAATATCGATTTTTTTTCTCTGTCGTGTGAAATTATTATTTCCCTTTTTTTTTCTATTTTATTTTATTTTTCCTCCTTTTTACGAGATCTCGCTCGGCATTCGACGATCGATGGATGTCGAAAATTTGAACGAGCGAATGTCAAAATCCCTCGTTCGTTTTCGCGGGACGTTAAATGTTAAATTAAGGGGCCGTTCTCTCTTTCGTTACTTCGTTTTTCTCGTTTAAGGTACACTCGATGGGATTATGGGACGAGTAACAGTGTTAATTAATTACGAGTGATATCGAGGGTAAAAAAAAAAGTCCTTGGGTCGTATCTTGATTCTGCAACTTTTTGAACTCGATTCTATATCTTTATTCTTTTTTTTTTTTTTTTTTACGAAACGATATCGTAGATGCATGCGTTTCCATTCAAGGTTCATGTTATATTCTGGAAAACCATTCTTCTTGGTTAACCATTGTTTATCGTATTAAATATCGTAAAACGTTGGATTATTTTTTTTTTATAGAAGTGAAGTAAATATTTGTATTTAAAAAAAAAAAAATACGAATCACATTGAATATTTGGTAATGCATGCATTTTCTTTTTTCTTTTTTTTTTTTTTTTTTTTCTTTCTTCTCAAACACGTTTTAATGTATCGAAAGCATCGAATGTGTATCAAACGTTTTGCATTAGATAGAGAGACAATTTGAATCACAAATATCGCAAAAATATCGAAGCATCGAATATTTCCTTACGATACCTAATGTAATCTTCGTTTCGAGTCGTCGACGATTGAACTTTTTCCTTTAAACTTTCTCAGAGATAATAAAATAGAAACCTCTTGATTTATATTTTCTCCAAGTTCTTTACATTGTCAAAATTATTCGAAATTTCACGATTGATATATTCATCATTTAAATTAAGTACCAATATTTTCGTTGAATGAACTATGAATGAACCTGGACTGCGGATGTTCAAATATTTAACCAACGCGAGCTTTAAATCACGAACAACATTTCGTTGCAAATTGTAAATGAAACTTCGACGTTTCATATAAAAAAAAAAAAAATCCCATTCAGAATACGAAGGAAATCATACCATTGAATTCCTTTTTTGTTTTATCCCGATATCTCGATCGGTTGCCGTGATACGAGCGTTCAAAGTGGCCATATGTTCAACACAGTGCGAAGATTGCGAATGGCCCCGCAACCCAGTGACCTATATTTATTTCTTGCAAGTGCGTACTACTTCCAAGAATCGTGTCTGTCGCTTGTTCGCAACTTGGGATAGATCAGGGAGACGAGGCGCGAGCGAGAGGCCCGAGTAAGCGACGAGGACGAGGATGGTAAACGAATAAAAATTACCTTCCCGTTGCACGACGATATCTCGGCAACCGGAAGTCGTATCGGTGTAATTCAAAAAGCGTTTTAAAGTGAAAGGTATCGCGCTTCTAACGATCTTCGTTTCGTCGACGAAAAGTTATTATCTTCGAAGTTGTAGCGATTCAAAGTTTTCCCAATTTTAATAGGGTTTCGATTCGAAGTTTTAAGGTAAGTTTTACGCGATAGTTATCTTCTGTTTGTTTCTGTTGAAAAAAATATTGTACGTGGCGTGTACGTTGTTGATGCAACGTGACGCTCTGTTTATTTATATTATTTGCGCAAAATATGTCGAATATTTGAACAATGAAAATCCGCAGTCCAGTAACAATCAAACTATGAATTAACTTTTTTAACGAAGATGACAACGTGATCATTGATTGGGTTTATCAAACCCATGATGATATTAACAACACATATTTTCACCAGCTTTAATCGTTCAAACGGAGATTAAAAATTGTTTAACGTTTTCGCAACGACGTATAATCTCTCTTTATAATTTTGCGCATACCTATACTTTATTTGCAATTTTACAATTAATTTCCGCATCGAGGCAAAGTTGAACCTGGCAAACTTTGCAGCTAATTAGACTTAAGTGTAACTTTGATGTAAATTCGTGAAGCTAGTGAACTTTAGATTACAAATTTGACAGTGTTAACGATCTTATTAATGTATCGACATCAACGAGATTCTACTGTACCCAAAAGCCTGCTACGCTCGAATATTTAAAAAAAAAAGTGTTCAAAGCTTTTAAATATTATTAACTTATTATCAGTTAGAGAATGAAATACGAAGAAAATTTTGCGAAATTATCACGAAGCAAATTTATAATCTCAATTAACGTTACCTATCCTTTTTCTCTTTTCTTTCCAGCAAACGCGAAACCATTGACTTTCGATGAAGTGTACAATCAAAGTAGTCCGACCAACTGCACGGTGTACTGCGGCGGACTCACCAATGGTCTAACGGAAGAGCTAATGCAAAAAACATTTTCGCCTTTCGGATCCATCCAAGAGATTCGCGTATTCAAGGACAAGGGTTACGCTTTCATCAGGTAAATTTTAACATCTAATAAAGTAAAAAAGAAATTTCATTTTTTTCCTTTTCGCAATATTTTGTAACAGGTATATAAAATTGACCAGCTATGACTTGTATAAACGAGGACGGACGCATCGTTCGTTCTTTCGAAACTTATTAATTTCAAAAGTTTGTACTCTCTCTCTCTCTCTCTCTCTCTCTCTCTCTCTCTCTCTCTCTCT